CGAAGAAAAAATTAGGCCATCTCGCCGAATGTTAAGGCCAAGGCCACGAGGTCCTCACTTAGCAGCTATTTAGGGACGGCAATTGCGGATTTTGATGCGCAAAAATCTTCTTAGCAATGTATTTTTTTTTAAATTTATTTATTTAGAAATATAATATACTGTCACGTATAAAATAATTATAATGATATATGAACACATTCACACCATATAAACAGAAAATATAAAATTAACAAAAGTAAAATAATAATAAAAAACTATGTACATTGTTTCATACATTGCAGGCACCAAATCCACTTTTAAAAAAAAAATGTCCGTCTGTATGTCCGCATTGCAACAAACTTTTGTTAGGGGTAAGCTCAGCAATGGCTTATTGTAGATTTTTGAAATTTTAACATTATATTAAGCTTTGCTTGACTTAAAACATAGGCTTTAAATGAAAACAAAATATTGAGTATAACCGAAGTTATGAATTCTTGAGTAATTTGTATAGAGATCTCGATTAATGTTGATAATAAATGTTAATAATAAACACATGTTTATAGGTTAAAGAACATCTATATAAATAAAATAAAGGTTTCGTCTATACATTGAATAGAATCAACCCGTTTCATGATATCTTTCCGTTTTATATTTTACGAACACCAAATCGACTTTTAAAATATTTTTTTGTCTGTCTGTCCGCATTGCAACGAAATTTTCACCCCCCCCCCTCCCCCTCCCCGCTACAATATTCAGATCAAGTTCCAATTTTACACAGAGTTAGGTGACTCAATGTCCAATGTTATTTTGCCAGCGATAAACTCAGCAGAGTTTAAAGAAGTGGAGAGACTACAACTCTTTTTGATTAATTAATCGACTCCATAATATTCTAGCTTCATCATAAATGAAAATTAAACAGTTAACAAATTTTAATGGATCGGTGGTGGTCGGTTTAGTTGTGTGGTACCTAAACAAATAGCCGAATAACAGAGTTTTTGTCATGACTATTGCGAAACCTTGACTTCCACCCATAAAACATTTCAAAACAATCCCCCTCTTCCCTCCCGACCCAATTTTATGAAATTATATTTGGACCCTCCTCCCCCATAATACGAAATCCATCTCAAAAAAAGCCGTCGTTGACGGGTACCCCAGTTAGTAGAAAATAATATCTAAAGATAAGCAAATTAAAAAAAAACATAAAAACACAGTCATACCTATATACAATTAGGCAGGGAACCTGGAGCTAGGCTTCTACCTCCAACTATAGAAGAAAAAGCAGGACTCCAAGAGATCCATGCACTACTCTCTCAACCGCGTCACTGCTGCTAAAGCTAGAAGAGTTTGAGTGAGAGCTCTTTAGCCATATACACTCATGTCTTGATTGGAGAATCTGGCCATTGCCAGATCTCCAAGATATATATTACAAAAGATCTCTGGGCCACTGCCGCTTCAACCTTCGAGGAGGATTGTAAAGATGAGTGGAACTAGATATTGATTGTGCTAGGGGATTTGGATGATTTATAAGATTCTGATGAAATTTTGAGAATTTTTCTGGTATAAGATCTAGGACAGATGGCATATTAAGGTCATGGTGTAGCGTTTTGTTGGTTACATAGAACAGTGTATCAACTATTGTTCGAAGGACTTTAGAGTGAAAGGATTGAATGCGTTTGATGTTAGAAAATTTTTCTGTCCCCCAAAGTTCAAGTCCGTAGGTCCAAGTAGGTTTCAGGATTGTCTTGTAGATCAGTTATATGTTGTCAATTGAAAGTTGAGATTTTCTGGTCAGTAGTCTGTATAATTGGCCGTATCGTCGGTTATGTTCTTGTCTTTTGAGTCTAGTATGTGGGTTCCACGTTAGTCTTCGGTCTAAGATAAAGCCAAGATACCGGACTGTGGCTGAGAAATGAAGCTGGATGGAATTAAAGTGGACTGATGGACAGGATCTGCGGCGGAGCGTGAAGATATTTATTTGCATTTGGATTCGTTTACTTTGATGCACCATTTATTATTTAAAGATGTTTAAACAATAATATAAAAATATGGCGTGTCTACTCACAAGACTTTCCCCAGATTTTAAACAAGCTTTTTCAATTTTAAATATATTCATTAAAAATAACACAATCCCAATAATTTCCATATCTAGTAGTGGTAGAAAAGTAAAAAATTAGGAAAATCGAATACATCATTAAACTTTCGTTTAGAACATACATTCCGTAGAAATAATTTTTAAGTTAATAAACCTCAATAACATTAATTTAATTATTAACATAAATTTAAGATAATTAATATTAATTATGACAATATTCTTTGTGCTATTTGATTTTGTTTTTTCAAGCTGAACTTTTATTAAAATTTTCCATTTACTTTCTATGGAATGATACCATTCATGGCATTTGAGAATCATCAGAATTCTATATTTGGATCAAAAATGATTTTGAGAACTAATATATTGACAGCCACACTATAATAGCCTGTTAGCCCTGGAGAACAGGCAAAAAATCGACCTCATCGCAGGAGAAGGATTGATTGTAAATTATGAAAGTATATGTTATTCTGAGGAAAAAGAATCTTGTCTGCCGTTCCAGAGCCGATGCTTTCCCAAATGGCGTCTGATTTAAAGAATATTAGGTCAGTAATTTGGGGATCGAAACGGGAGATCCATTGCGAAAAATGTGAGAAAAGTTTTTATTTTTTTAAATTGTATATAAGAGTTTAGACATGTAAAAAAAAAATCGCTAACGCGGGTCACTAAGAGAAAACTTTTTACAGCCAAAAAAGTCTGATTTTTTCCAATTTGTCTGTTATTTCACCTATAACTCTTAAATGATGCACCAAAGCTAAAAATGTACTCTTTAATTAATTAAAGAACGTTAAATTGTGCGTTTGTAATTTGGTAAAAATAAGCGGTGGTTGACCGTAGTTTTATACCTTACCACGTAACCAAATTATATATTTTATATCCTCGTTTCACGCACAATTTAATCTTCTTCGATTTATTAATGAGTAAAATTTTCCGCTTTGATGTATCGTTTAGGAGTCATAGGTGAAAAAACAAAAAAATCGGACTTTTTTGGCTATAAAAAGTTTTCCCTTGGTAGCCCGCTTTAGTGACTTTGTTTTTACATGTCTAAACCCATATAAACAAGTTAAAAAAATAAAAACTTATCTCACATTTTTCGCAGTGGATTACCCGTTTCGATCCTCAAATTACTGGCCTAATATTCTTTGAATCAGCCGCCATTTTTGAAAGCATCGGCTCTGGAACGGCAGACAAGATTCTTTTTCCTCAGAATAACATATACTTTCGTAAATTATTGAAGGAAGCTAGTCAACTGTTCTACATATCATGGGTGATAAAGATTCAGGACGCAGTCTTTTTTAAAAAAATTTTTATTATTTTTGCCAACGTTTCAACCCAAACATGTGGGTCACCTTCAGGGCTGAAAATGTTTTTTTTTTAATTACAATCAGAGATATAATAGTATACGACCGCTAATTATAAATAATAAACTATAGTGATTGATGGCACATGAATCTTAACTAATATTGTAATACACATATTAAAATAGTTATACAAACTAAAAATAAAAAATAATGTATATAATCCATTTATAAAAATTTGTAATATTTTCTCTTACTATCTCTTACGGTCGTATACTCTGATAATATCTCTGATTGTAATTTTAAAAAAACATTTTCAGCCCTGAAGATGACCCACATGTTTGGGTTGAAACGTTGGCAAAAATAATAAAAAAATTTTTAAAAAAGACTGCGTCCTGAATATTTATCACTCATGATATACTTTCGTAATTTACAATCAAACCTTCTTCTGCGATGAGGTCGATTTTTAGGCCCTGGCTTCAGGGCTATGTAAGAACAAAACTAAAAGTTTCCAGTAGACAAAAACAAACTGCTAACTTTTGTTCTATGAGGATTATATTTTGGATTTACTTTTTTTTTTCTAGGCCTAAGATGAAGATGTAATGCTTTACTATGTAACTTTTTTGATCGTATTTCTGCTAAATAATCTTCTGAAGCCATAACTTCTCACTTATAGCTTTTTATTTACCACTGCAGGGGCTCGAACGGAGTTCGTGTAATCTATGAAATAATGGAGTAAACTATGAAAATTACGTTTCTAACGCTTCTTGATATAGTTACGGAATGGACTTAATCCGTAACAAATAATAACATTAATTTAAGTTTTATTTTATTAAATTAGTGAATCATTCATTGATCTTTCTCATGACTTTTATTAAAGCACAAAGCCCTAGATAGCCAGGTCAAGCTATCTCCGATAGCTAAGAAATAGTTATCTAGAATGTACTGACAGGACACAATAAGAACCTTTATCAACAACAGATATGGGGGGACAATAACAGATTTCAGAAAAAGGCCCCTTTCTCTCATATCAATAATAAACAATAACAATATCAATTTCTAATAACTTTTTAAAATGTTAATAACTTCCTTTGCCGCCCTCTTCCGACTTCTCCCACACTTCCCTTCACCCCCCAACTATTCTTGGGGATATAAACCCCATCCTTCTCTGGACTAATCACTCATGCAGTTGCATTCTTGATGTCATACTCTTTACTGCAGGAGACCTGGAGTGAACTTATGTAGTCAAACCATATATCCATAGTATATTACTCTGTATGTTAGATGTCATTTGTAACAGACATTATGAATGAAACCATTATTTATAAAGTCTCCACTGCCTCCGATTCATTAACTTATGAACATGGTTTAATTTACGAATACTTGGAAAGTTCTAGATAACGTGTTGATCGCTTCGTTTCTGAGCTTCTTTCGATTTCGAGGATTCATTGGTTTAAAAATATGAAACTAGAGTTCTTTTTTTCGTCTCGTGTTAAATTTTCCAATTAATAAAATCAATTCTCTGTCTCTCACTATATGGCAGCATTATAGTTTTTTTCCATTCATGCTCATTTTGCAGTTGCTAGGAGGTTCTTTTTGTTTTGAAGGTAGTTTAATATTATATTCTCACTTACCATTCTCTTCTGTACTTCTTCTTCCTTCGTAAGAAGCCTCAGGGGAGGGGAGCCCGGGCATTTGCCCAGAAGAGCAGGGCTGGAAGTGCTCGCCACTTACTAGAAATTAAAAAAAAAAAAAAAAATAATACAAAGCCCATGATAAAAAAATATACTGTATTTTATTGTATATTTGGTACATTGATACTTTTTAAAAAATCTCTATAACCTTCACTGTAACTTACAGGTTTTTAGAAAAGACCGTAGAGAAGAAATGAATAACACTAATAAAAGGCTTAGTGAACCCGAAGGTTCAATGCCGACACCACCAATCGCTTATTACACACCTCCCTCCACCGTTCGCCGTCCAAACCTAGTCCCTTCAGATCTACCGACAGTACAGCAAATATTAACCTTTCAGGTATTCTCTCGTTACTAAGCCTATTTGATTCGCCGCGATGAAATTACCTCAATTATATTGCCCGGGTACAGTTCGCGCAATTCGGCGTTGTGTAACCGTCTGAACTCTCCGGTTAACTCATTCTTCTTCGGTCCGAATATTCTACGCAATATTATATTTTCAAAAACCTTAAGACGCTGCTCATCCCTTAATGTAAGCGGCCCCGTTTCGCAACCATAAAGAACTGTAGGTAAGATAATGGTTTTATAGATTATAATTTTTAAGTTTCGGGACAAGAGGAGCGAGCTAAGTATTTTTGTCACAGAAAAATAACAAGCATTTTTCGCCTTCAGTCTAACCTTAATCTTTTCTTCAATTTCGTAGACCCTAGATACCTAAACTTCTCTCTCTACCTGTTCAAAGATATTACTATCTATATCGAGAGAAGGAATGAAACATCATAAATATCATTTTGTGGGATCAAATATGCGCCAGGACAACGTTGTCTAGAAAAGCTCAAAACCTCATTTTTCAAAGAAATTGTCCTTACAGACCTTTGAAATGTAGCTTCTTTTTCGTTTTCTTTAATTGGTTCCTCCCCTTCCTCGCCGTTATATACCGAATTTTATAAAGGAATAACGAATCCCGATTCGAGATATGTAATTGGTCTACCATAAAAATGTCAGTACTCAGTAAAATCGAAATTTGATGCTCTACAACTTTGATTCTATGGGGTTTTCCTCTTAGGGAACTCATTTCTAAGTTACAGGGCCACTGATAGTAATTTGTCTCAGTTTTTGGCAAATTTGGTAAAACTCAGCGTTTGTTGACTGTGGTTTTATACCTTACCGCGTGACCAAATTTTAAAGTTTATGTACTCGTTCGACGCAAAATTTATTAAAGAGTACATGTTTCGCTTTGATGAATCGTTTAGGAGTTATAGATGAAAAACACAAAAAATATCGAAAAAATCTGACTTTCTTGGCTGTAAAAAGTTTTCCCTTGGTGGCCTGCGTCAGCAATTTTGATTTTTACATGTCTAAACCCATATATACAAGTTAAAAAAATTAAAACTTTTCTCACATTTTTCGCAATGAATTTCCAGTCCCGATCCTCAAATTACTGCCCTAATATTCTTTAAATCAGCTGCTCTGGAACGGCAGACAAGCTTCTTTTTCCTCACAATAACATACACTTTCGTAATTTACTATAAAACCTTCGCCTTGCTCCAGGGCTATTAAAGCTATACAGGGTTTTCCCGGGCCAGGGGTTATGGGCGGGAATTTAAAAGATTCTCTCGGCACCTGGACGCGAACTCGTGACTATTTTTATATCATTTCATCCACATATCAGGTTACAGGGCAACGGCGGTGCTGTGCACACGCTTTAGCCAATTCGGCTACACCGCCCACACTTTGAAGTGTGGCTGTCAATACGATATGGATTTTTAAAAAGAAATGTTTTTTCACAATGCTTATATCTGCAGAGTCGACGAGGGATTTTCCCTTTATTCCCTCTCTTAGATGAAATGAAGCGACCATTTATATGGCTCTTTTACAGAGGTGGACGACCCAGACGCTTGCTTTGATATTGGCAGATTTAAAACAAATAAAAAAAAGTTAATTACACAACAAACTGAGGCGTGAGGTTCTCTCTGGTCCGGACGAGGGGGCAATGTTCATCCGGGCTGGTGGCCACGCGGTCGACGACCTAAAATATTGTATTTTCTAAGAGAGAGAGGTGAAATTTTCCACGTTCGCTTTTCTTGGCCGTTGACCTATCGATTTAAGTCAACTCTGAGGATGCTGACAGTATTGAAACCAGTGATTGTTGGCTATTATTGCCAATAAAAGTTAGTTGTTAAATAGGTATTCGTATACTATGAAAAATTCTCGACTTGATCATGACAAATCCAAACATACAACTCTTGAAAAAACACCTGCCCTCCAGTTTATATTGACAACAATCAAATTCCTCAAACGGACACGGTACTTTACCTTAGACTCACCTTCGACAGAAGGATGACATGGGGCCCACCTGTTAAAATGAAACGTATGACCCTTAACAAACGACTCAAACTACTTTACTCTCTTTTTGCCAAATCTTCAAAACTAAACCTAAAACAGAAACTGAATACATATACATACTTACTTAAGCCCATATGGACATACTCATCACAAATATGCGGCATCGCTAAAAAGACCCACCTACAAAAACTTCAAACGTTCCAATCAAAATTATTGCGACTCATAACAAAAGCACCTTGGTATGTGACTAACAAAACTCTACATACTGACCTCCACTTTCCAACAGTTGACCAAAATAAAACGACCCTTTATCAACGATTTTACACAAATTTAAATGGACATAATAACAGACTTATAAGGGACATGGTCACAGCTGACATACCTCAGAACATGAGGAGGAGACTAAAAAAGGCGTTGGATGAGCGATCTCCTTCCTTAAACAACCTAAGTAATTAGAACAAGTCAGGGAAGAGGTGCTGCTGAGTAATTTGCTTCATCATGACTGTCATGTCATTATATAATGCATCGCCATCTCATTTGCTGATTGTCAATAATAAGTTGACAGGTGCAAGTACATATTTTATAGAAAAAAAAAATAGAAAATAAGTATTCGATTTGCCCAATTATATAGACTACTAAACAGAAACTCTAATCTCTCAATAAAAAAAAATATATATTAATATAGATTGTTAAAAGACAAGAACTCAACCGACAATATGGCCAGCTTCATAGACTACTGAACAGAAAATTTCAACATTCAATTGACAACTAACTGCTGATCTACAAGACAATCCTGAAACCTATTTGGACCTACGGACTTGAACTGTGGGAAACAGGAAGATATTCTAACATCAAACGCATTCAATCTTTTCAGTCCAAAGGCCTTCCAACAATAGTTGATACACTGTTCTAAGTAACCAACAAAACCCTACACCATGACCTTAACATGCCATCTGTCCTAGATCTTATAACTGAAAATGTTTCCAAATTCCCTTAAAACTTTACATATCATCCAAATCCACATGCACAATCCCTATCTAGCTCTACCCATCCCTACAATCCTCCTCGAAGGTTGTCTCGAAACGTCAGTGGCCCAGAGACCTGTTGTAAGAATATATTGGAGTTCTCTACTCCAAGCCATGTATGTCTGGTTTAGTATTGACCGAAATCGGTCTTGCACTTTGCAAGACCAAGACCAAAGCGGCCTAACTGTTGCAAGACCAAGAGCAGAACTGGTAAAAAAAATCGATTTATTAAATAAAAATTAAGGCAAAATAGTTACTATATACTTAATAATTGGTATAACCAATATACTTTTGCATTTAACTCCTCTGATTTTTCATTCGGGCTTAGGTAGGTTTTTCCTATCTAAAGAATTACAGTAATATCTTAATAATAATAAGGTAATAAGTAACTACAAGATTGTAGCGAGACTCTTGCGCAAGACCAAGACCAAGACTGAGTTTGGTAGACCAAGACTCGTCTCGGTCTCGCATTTGGACAACTCTAGTCTGGTTATAACACCTTTGCCAGTAATGCGGCTGAGTGAGAGGCGCTGGGATCTCCTAGAGCCCTGCCTTTCCTTCCACGAGTGGGGGAAAAGGCTTGGCTCGGAGATCTTGAGTAAATAAATTTTGTAAATATTGTATGAAGGAATGTGTGCACTTGTTTAGTAGTTGTTTTGATTAGTTTGGTTTCTTTTTGTTTAGTTTTGTTTCTTTTAGTTTAAATCTTTTATCAGATTGTAATATATTTCAATAAAGTAAGAATATAAATTGTAATATTTCTCAATAAAGAATTGAAAAGAAAAAAACATATGCAAGTTCATACTGAGACCCATCGGGACCTACGGACTCGAACTGTGGGGGACAACTAAATTTTCGAACATCAAACGCATCCAATCCTTCCAGTCTAAAGTCCCCCGCATAATAGTTAATTGACTATATGTTATATGTTATAAACAAAACCTTACATCATAACCTTAACATCTCTTATATACTCTCGTTATTCAATCCCGATTTTCAATTTTTTATCAGAACCTTATTCAACATCCTAATACCTTAGCATTATCCTTATCTAGCTCCAGTCATCCCTACGATTTTTCTCGAAGGTTGAAATGGCAGTGGCCTCGGGATCTTTTGTAAAGACGTCACTAGAGATATGTGTGAATTACGGACTGTGTCTGAGTAAGGAAGCTGAATGGAATTAAAGTGCACTGGTGGACAGGAATTGCGTCGAAGAGTAAAGGTAATATGTTTGCATATTTAGGATCAAGGTTTCATATCTGTCTAATATTTGATTAAATCAGTTATAGCGAATTTGTATGAAAACGTAATGAATGATATTATTATTCGTATAAATTTAACATTACTTATTTTTATTGTTTCTACTACCAATATATCATATCAATATTTTTATTATAAACAAAGAGGAACGGATGGGGATTTTAGGTGTTTTTATCGTAGTCATTGATGAAAGGAACGAAAAACATCTTTTGTTTTTTAAATTGTTCTCATATAGACTTGAAATCTATACAGTTTAATTTTCTCTTTGTTATATTTATAACCATTATATCTTTACAATATACTAATAAAGTTTCTTCATTTAAACTGTTCAAAAAAAAAAAATTCTGGTTTGATAAGCTTTTTAAGACCATATTAATTAACTTATGGTTTTTAAAAAAAAATAAAAAT